CACAAAAAACCCCTTGCCCCCATTGCTCCTGCACCAGGATGACCCTGGTTTCCTACCTCTCTCTCTCTCTCTCTCTCTCTCTCTCTCTCTCTCTCTCTCTCTCACACACACACACACACACACACACACACACACACACAGCCTACAGGATGGTGTGTGACCCTCCGTCTAATTCCATGTACTCTCATTCTCCTCTGGGATCCTTAATGGAGAAAAAGGGAGAGAGACAGTGAGGAGTGAGTAAGCAAGGAGAACATGGTGGAGAAGGAGAAGCTCTCCTCTCACCCAGTGCTGACATTTGGCCCCCAAATTCCAAAGGGAAAGTCCATCAGAGCAGAACAAAGGTTCTGCTGTGAACACACCTGCTTTCCTGGCATGACAATGGAGCAAGCAATCTCTCTCCCTCTGGCTAGGGAGGCCATGAGGACCTCCAAGGCCTTCCACGCTTGCCTTCCTTCACTATTCCTGGGATCCATCCCCTGCCCTAAGGAGAGCCTCCGGAGCTTCTCACACCCTTCTTTGGCAAGAGTTTCGTGGGGTTTTCTGGGCCAATGCCACAAAAAGCCACTTCCCAGACACATCTTCTTCTGAGTTTCCTCTGCGAAAGACACATCTTCCTTCCTCTAAATCCTTCCAAGACAAGAATGAGGGGGATGTACTGCTTCCTATTTTGCAAACGCCGCCTTTAATGCATTGTTGTGGAAACAGGTTTTTCTCAGCAAGAGCTTTGCAAATGGGATGCTTTACATTAGTACTTGGCACCATTGATTATATTACAACAGGCGTCTCTAGCTGGGCCCATTCATCAGTGTGTTAGCAGACGAGGTTCAATGGCCCATGGGCAAGCACAACCTGCAAGGAAAGGGGGCAAATTCCCCATGCAATTAAGACCTCCACAGTGGGGGGAGAAAGCAAAATGTATGCTCGCTTTGCCGTCTGAACAATAAACTCTATGCTTGAGTTGCGGGTGGCTTGGGAAAACATTATTGATTAAAGCTTTATTTGAAGCAATTAGCAAAATCAGCATTCAGAGATGGGCTATTTTTCCATTACTGAGCCCAAAGATCTGAGCTTAACCCAGAATGGCTGATATTAACTGTCCCTGCTTTTTGTGGGGTTTTGAATAGGGAGGTAATTGAAGTGCATACAGGAACCGTTACTCTTGGATTTTTCTCACCTGCAATTTAATGTGGTGCAGCCCAGCTGTAGCTCTACCACCTCCTAACATCTGAGAGCGCTAAATAAGGAAGCCAGTGACCCCGAGACATGGACTATGGGGCAAAGGGCACCATCCAGCCCTCCCTGATGGGGTGACAGTCTACTGGTGGAGAGCATAAGAACATGAGAAAGGCCTTTCTTCATCAGAAAAGTGGTTTTGCTAGTCCAGCATGCTGTTTCCAATGGGGAGATGATGTGCGGGACTCGAGCACAAGACTAGAAGTGCCAATGGGGAGATGATGGCTGGAACTCAAGCACAAGACTTCTCTCCTCCATTTCCCCCATCATCTGGCAAACCGAGAACACAACCTCTAATACTGGAGGTATGACATAGTTATCATGTCTCATTTGCCCTGAGACCTTCATCATCCTCCAGAAATTGAAGTCATGTGAGATATGGCCACCACTATGGCTTATGGTAGTGAAATCCACAGCTCAGGAGTGCACGATGTGAAGAAGCATTTCCGGTGGAGAAGGTGGCACCCGCACCCCACAAGGTCTTGCCTGTGCCACAGTGGAGGCCCCTGCTGTCTTTCTTGTACCCACTACCAGTGCTCTATCAGGGACGTAGGCAGGACTGGGGCATTTGAGGAGCATGCAGAAGGCATGCCACAGAATCCTATGAGCCCTTGTACCTGAAGAGGACATGGAGCTGGCGTAGTTAAGGCACTCCCAGCTTCACCTCTGTAGGCTGTGGGGGTCTTCCATTTTGTGGGCAGAGCCTCCACCTGTCATGTCCTACCTGGAGGAGATTCTTTAGATGAAGAGGGCGAGCATAACACGCCCAGCCACAGCCAGATGCAGGGGCTGAGACTACAGCCAAGGGCCTTCCAATAGAGGACTGCCACCTGGACAGTCCCTGGACTTCCTCAGGGGCAGGAGCTGGAGTTGGAAGGGCTTCACCCCATAGAAAGGAGGAGGAGTTCCCAGATCCAGCAAAAGTCCACACAGCAGGCTGAGCATGGAGCCTCCCATAAAACACCATGCTGACCTAATTAGCCAGCTGTGCTGATTTACACCTGGCTATAATTTAGAGCCTCTTCTTTGCGGTAAACAACAAGAATTGTTATCAGTGCCTTTGGCTTCTTTTTAGACTAATCAGACACCTAGACTGTTGGCTTGCTTCCTTGGAACACCCCACCTGATTTAAATTCTGGATGCCTTCTGCCTTGACCTTTGGACTGAATTGGCTAATCTTTGGGTAGGTAACATGGAGGCTTGGCCCTTGTGGACACAGAGCACTACACTGTCTTGTCTGGCTCAGCTGAGAAGATGGACCAAGAATGCTCCACAACATCTGCACCAGTTATCAGAAAGCACAACAAGGCTTGCATTACAAGCTTAAGTGCCTGTGGAAATCTAGCAAGACCAAACTACCTTAAGTGCCCTCCTTGTATCCCCACTTATCAGTAAGTCGCTCAGCTGCAGCTGGACTTGCTGGGGTAGGAAACTTTCAGGATGTTTAGACTGCAGGGTGTCGTGGCATCAGCAGCAAAGAGTGCATCGCATGGTGCTTCATCCTCCCCGCCCTCTGGTTGGAAATGGACCTCTCAGGCAGCCTTTGCTGACTGTGTGTTCCAGCAGGTTGAAGCCTGCCTTGCAGTCCGGCTCACACTTTGCATTGCAAATAGCTGCTGCTAAACACTTTGGATGGTAGGTGAGCTGCAATGGGCACACAATGCAGAGCATTCCTCCTTGTAAGTAAACCTAGAGCTAGCGTATCACTTTTCTTGGGATGCCATGGCTGGTGGTAGACGTGTCATGAGTGGAGCAGGCTGGAGGCGGGGGACAGACTAGATGTCCCAGGAGACCCCTTCTGACTCACTCTGTTTCTGTGTTCCTGTCTCCCCGTTCCCTGAGAGCCAGCAAGGAGGTTCTGGAGATGGTGCTGGCAATGGTGGCTTGGACACCCCACTCCAGTAGTTGGATTGGTGTGCAGGCCTGGCATAAGGCAAGGCAGTGCTACCCAGCAAGGTTAAAACCTGTGCATTCGCACTCTGAGAGTTAGGAGTATGTGCAGAATGACATACAATATTTTGTAACCCCCAGATAGTCTTTCCCAGCCACTCAAACAATGCTGTGCCGTGGAGATTTTCATCTGTCTGAAGGGCGATTGGTTTGGTAGCATGCAAGAAGAGGAGTCCCTTTTGTACTGTCATTTTCACGGATGCTCTGCAGGAGCTGTAGATCAGCAGGGAAATTGGAAGCAGAGCGAGGTGGGCGCAAAATAACCCATACAATATATTGTGTCTCAAAAGCATCTCGGCTGCCTCCGGCTCCCATGGTGACAAGGGACACCATTCTCTGGAGATAAAAACAGATGTTGCAGCCTAGCCAGGCTGCCTACCCATCACAATTTTTGAGCGTGAAAAGAACTGAAACACCTCCAGCAGCAAAATGTTGTTTTGATACGGCCACAGAAATTTACTCCAGCTTGACCTCCACAAGCCCATTCTGAGGGCACCATTTTAAACCTCATTACAGATGACATTTTAAGAGCAGGTAAATTGTCTGAGATACACAGACAGCCACCATCATCCTATAAACAGGCTTGCCTGGCATGAGGTGTCAGGGATGAAGCACATCCGAAAGGCCCATATGCCTCTGAAGCATGTCACCTTATCTTTCCCTCCTCCAAGCTTCCCAAAGACAGCTGCACTAATACACACACAGGATGCAAAACACAGACCCCAACCTTTGCATGGCAGAGCTCATTGGCACCTTACACAGCTGCAATCCTGGATCAGCCACTAAGGGTAAACATACCATGAACCTGCAGGAAGTTCCAGCTCTCTGAGGATACTAGGATGCACACCTTTCCAAACAGGTGCATGTCATATTCAAATGTTACCATTTTATGTGCATGCGGCACAGAATAGAAGGTGTTCTGTGCCTCTAAAAAACCTAAAATTTAATGTGCCGACTGACCCTTTAAGATGGATGTAAAGATTACATTAGAATGGTCATAGCCATATCTGGGACATTATGAAGTCAGAATGTACCAGGATTCTACTGGAAGGAAGAAGCATAGCTGCTAATAGCTAGAAACATAGCTCTGATACACCCAGAGGCAACATAAACCATGGGTAGGAAGGATGGTGCAGGACCAGGGACCTTCAGAGGTGGTAGCCTCCAGTGATGGGGACACTGATGAGGCACCAGAACCAGTTCCTGGTCCTTCTGAACTAGGTCTCAGTGGCTCTGACCCCATACACCGAAGCCCCAAGAGGTGCCATTAGACCTCAGGAAGGGCCCAAGACTCCTCTAGGGAACAGAGAAACTCTGAGGAGTAGTCCCATCCTCCAACCTTCACTCCCCAGGAGAAGCCAGCACCTATGGGAAAAGGCACTGGGCCTTTCACAGTCATACTGCACACAGGGGAGTGGGGTTGCCAGAAAGACCCCCTGACATGATTGAAGAATCCTGACACAGTCAGTGAAGGAGGAACTTATCATAGGTGAGGTCCAGGATTGCTGTCCCTAGTCCAGAAATCAACCCAAACTTCAGATGTGATCCAGACACTAATCTCATGTTGCACGTCCTTACCTGAGGTGTCTCCCAATGCACAGCATATAAACCCAGGTGGAGTATGACAAGATAAGGCTTCCAGAGCTGTTATCCTACTCAACAACTTGAGTAAAACAGCCACAAGCCAAACTCCCTGCATTCCGTGTCCACCCAACAAGCATCGCTTCTGCAATTTGGTTGTGAGGATGTACAAAATCTCACAGCCCACCCAAAACCATTGAGAATCAGAATTGAAATCAGCACATCCTACTTACAGCCAACCATCATCATGGCCACTGAAAAGATCTTCTCTCCGTCGGTGGTTGGAGCAATGTTTCCAAATCCTATCGTCGTAAGGCTTGTCATGGTAAAGTAGAGAGAAGTTATATAAAGCGAGTCTTTACTGGGTCCTCCTTCCCACTGCCCTGATCCAGTCGTGTTGTACCTGTACGGAGTCCCAATACTCTCCGCCAACTGGCAAAGCCAGCTGTCCTTCTTGAGGGTATTTGTGATTTCATCAATGACCTCATAGTCTCCGATGCTGTACCATATGCAAGCAAGCCAATGGGCTACTAGTCCAAAGACACACACCAGGAGCACCAGCACTGCGGCTCCATATTCCAGGTAATGGTCCAACTTCCTGGCGACACGGCCCAATCGCAGGAGGCGCACCACTTTTAAGGAACTGAAGAGACTGCTGATCCCCTAGGAAGGAAAACAAAACTTTACTACTGCGTGAAATTATTGGCACAGTATATTGTGGAGACCGTGGGTTGGGAAACTTTATTTCTCCCTCTCTCATAATACTAGAACCCAGTGGGGTCATCCCATGAAGCTGAGGAACGGAAAATTCAGCACAGATAAGTGAGGGGGATTCTTAACTAGGGAATCCATTATCACAGGAGCTCCATGGTCCTTTCTTGTCTTCTGTCTTCCAGGCCTTTTAACTGGGGATGCCATGAATTGAACCTGGAACTCCCAGCATGCAGAATGTGGGTTCTGCTATTGAGCTCTCCGTAATAGCTATCTTTTAAAGCACTTCTGCATGGTGCTGAGCCCAGTCTGCAGCATGGATAGCAACTTCAAAGAGTAAAATTGGGAATGGAGACACAGCCCCTGGATTAGTTCTGTGTCTCAAGCTATTTCTGGAAGCCCTGAACATGGCTACTGAAGTTGGAAAAGAAACATGCTTAGGCTGTAGAATCACATAATAGTAGAGTCGGAAGGGGCCATGAAGGCCATTGGGTCCAACCCCTTGCTGCTGCAGGATGCCAATTTACACCACCCAACTCAGATGGCTGCCCAGTTTCCCCTTGAATGTCTCTCATACGGGACAGTCCGCCACCTTTCCAGGCAACTGGTTCCACCGCCATATTGCTCTGACAGTGAGGAAGTTTTTCCTGATGTCCAGCCTGAATCCGGATACTCACAACTTGAGTTGGTTGTTCTGTGTCCTACACTTGGGTATCAACGAGAAGAGATCTTGACCTTACTCTTTATGACAGCTTTTCAGGTATTTTTAGAGGGACATCATGTTCCCCCTCAGCCTTCTCTTGCACTCCTGTCCCACCCAGAGGCCTCCCTGGCACCTGGCTGGACACCGTGGGAACAACCCAGATTAAATAGACCTTGCTCTGATCCAAGTGTTCAGTCTGGCATTTCTGATTGGCTGGCAATGTCATCTGCCTACCCAGTTCTTAAGATAGGACTGGAGGCTAATGAGTGATTGTGGAAATGTCGTGTACTGTGGCTTTGCACTTGTGCTTGAAACGGAAACAGAAGTTTTGCTCTGCTGTGGTTGTTGCTATGCTCGTTCAGTGTCCATGCAGGACTAATACACACAATAACAGAGTCAGGGAGTGGGGGCTTGATTAGAACAGGTGGGTGGGCAGAGGAAAACTAGCTTTGGCAGACAACACAATATGGAAACACATCCACCAAAATCATTCCATAGCAAAAGATACAGCAGCCCAAGACGTTTCATTCAACAGACAGCAGCCAGGCAAAATGTTTGTTCATTCCTTGCCAGGTTTAAATTGCCCTTTTCTCTGTACATCATTATCAAATCCGTCTAGTCAAAATGTTGGATAATTATATTATCAAGGTGTAGAACACTGGCTTTTCTTTCGGCATAGGAATAAAATGCAATTGCCTCATCTATCTGGAATTTTCCTTTTGCTTTTTTAATCTCACATGGACTCTCAAAATAGTGTGCACGTGTCTGTGAGGTTTCAACTCCTGATATGTTGAACGAAGGGGTCAGTGACCAGAGGCTGCTAAGCTACCTCCAGCCCTAAGACAAATACGAGCAGTTCATCCTCACCGAAAACATTGTGTCCCAGGGAACTGGGTCTCTTCAGCCTGGAGAAGAGGAGACTCAGAGGGGATCTGTTGGCGACATACAGGTATGTGAGGGGATGTCACATGGAGGTGGGTAGAGACCTGTTCTCCCCTGCAGAGGAAGGCAGAATGCGCTCCAACGGAGCAAAGCTCAGGGAACCAAGGTTCTATTTGGATGCCAGGAAGCACTTCCTGACAGTCAGGACCCCGAGAGTGTGGAATGGGCTTCCACGAGAGGTTGTTGAGACCCCATTGGTGAGGGTGTTCAAAGATAGGCTGGACATGCACATGGTGGGCACGTCGTGAGCGGAGCCGGCTGGTGCCAGAGGTCAGACTAGATGACCCGGGAGACCCCTTCTGACTCACTCTGTTTCTATGTTTCTATGTGTCTGGAGTGAGCAAGCCACATGGCTGGGGGACCTGTTCACAAAAGGGGTCACTTATGCACTCCCCCCCCCCAAAGAGTAGCAGAAAAGAGAAGAAAATGTGCATATAATCTACATCTGCAAATACAATTGCAAATTTACTGATAATATTCCCATTCTGCCTTTTTTCTCCTACGAGGAACACAAAGCAGCTCCCTTCCTTCTCTGTTTGGTCCTCTGAACAACCCTTTGAGGTAGATCAGGCTGAGAAGAAGGTAAGTGGCCTCCCATAACTCAATGAGCTTCATGGCATGTGGGAATAGAACCCAGGTCTCCTGCGTCCCCTCTAGCCACATCTCCCCGCTGGATTCCATGTTGAAATAATTACTCTAACTGAAGAATCAATAAGACCCATCTCTGCATCCAGAGGAGGACTGTGGCAATGTATCTGCTGCTGATGGGCAAGTTTACATCCACAGCGTCCCCTCCTCCTTTAGCCTGAAGCTGACCTTGGACCATACCACTATCCAGATAAAAGAAGGGTGCACAATCTTTTCGGCACCATTTAATGCTGGCTCATGGACACTGATGACCGTAGGAAGTTCTGTGTGGGTTAACATGGAAAGACAGTGGGTCTGGGGAGTGTGAGAGATGCACACTGCCTCTACAACTGGAACAGAGGACTGGCAAGCCCTTCAAACAGAGAGCTGGCAAGTCCTCAAGTAGGGGGCTGCCCTCCAGTGGAGGCTGGTGCTCCAGTATCACCAGGCTTGGTATCCGCTCGGGCTTCTACTCCAAACTTTTGAGGAGCTATCCATGGTGCCAACTCTATTCAGGGGAGAGAGTTCAGCACTGTAGACAAGCTCCTTCGGAGCTCAGGGTAAGATCAAGAGTGGACAGCAGAGCTGCCTGTCTCCCCAGATGACAACAGTTTGGGGAGGGGCCTGCCCCCTTCAAAGTGGGACACACGGCCACTTCATTGGTGACGGTTAGCTTTGGCAGAGAGGGGCCTCTGACTGTCCACAAGGAGTATCTCTAACCGGCGCACGGTTGCAAAAGGCCCAATGGGAATCCCAGCATGAGTCATAAGCTGGTGGAAATTCTACACGCAAATGAATCCTCGAAGAGAGACATTTCAAGTTGAGCTACTTATACAGAGCTTAGTCCCCAAAGCCCCTGTGAGCTTTTTGATCTTTCTGTTCTGGTGTTAATGTTAGCTGCATCCCCGGCCCTAGAAAAAGAGGAGGAATTTCTTTTTTTCTTTTTTAGTGATAAACCAGCCTTCCCCAGCCTGGTGCCTTCCAGATGTGATCCACCATTCCCAGCCAGCCTGGGCATTGTGATGATGGGAATTGCAGTGTTACACATCTGGGCAGCCCCAGTTTGGGAAATCTAGTTGTTGATGTTACATTACATAGCAACATAGGTGAGATAAAAACATAGTTCTGTTCATCATAAAGGCTTTTAAAAGCATGGTTCATGCAAAACATTGTTGTCCTGCTTTTAGGAATGCATGGGAATTTTATTTTTGCTTGCAAAACAAGCTAGCATGCCCATTCAAGGCTCTGAATAGAAGCACATCTGTGGAAAAGAAATCCAAATTGTCAAAGACATGCTCAAAATCATCTTATTTCTGATTTGCTTCATTCCTGATTTGCTTCAGTGTACTGAAGTAATTTGCACAAATTACTTCAATACACCGAAACAGTTCCACTTTAGTCTATGGAGAAAATGGGAATTGTGTGAACAGGAATCAGTCATGAGGCAAACAACAAGATGATCAGCAAGAATCCTAGTGCTCCCAGACATGGCTTGTTGGTCCATCCCCACCTTGCTTTGAAAACGCCCATTTCTAGCCAGCATGAGAAATGCCACCATAACTTATGGAAACACCGTAATGGGCTTCCACAGGAGGTGGTTGAGGCCCCATTGGTGCAGGTGTTCAAAGATAGGCTGGACATGCACATCGTGGGCATGTCTTGAGCGGAGCCGGCTGGAGCTGGAGGTCAGACTAGATGGCCCAGGAGACCCCTTCTGACTTGCTCTGTTTCTATGTTCTATGTTTCTAACTTTGCTGGAAATGACCTCAAGCTGAAAAAGGTTCTGTGGCAACCACAGTTTCCCACAAACAGCCCTAGAAGAAGCCTCGTTTGTCTCCATTCCACCTCCATCCAGGATTTGGACATTCAATTGGTCCCTCCTTAGAGGAGGAAGGGCTGACAGAGGGACAGAGCTGGCCTCACCCTTAGGCCGGGCAAGGTGCCTTTCAAATAGAGGATGGCGGGGCGAGTGTGTGGTGTGGAGTGGAAGCCCCAGGAGGTCGGTGGTGTTGCCCACGACTTAGGCAGGGCTCCCAGAACTAGTGATGGGGGTATCTCCTCCTCCTTGACCTCAGGTAGCCACTAGTGAATTTCCAAAGAAAAGAGGGAAAGCACCACCCAAAGACAAGGATGGAAAGAGGAGGCTGCTTGGCATGAAATATCCAATGTGTTAAAGTATAGCTAAAGATGCATATTTAGAAATTATTCTTATATTTCACATTGAAATGCTGTAGTGTGAAAGATGATGACCAGGTGGCTTATGTGGCTTGCTTGGCTAGCCACCTGGGAGCACCAGGTGATGGACACCTTCATGGCCCTTTTGCTCTTCCTCCAGAAGGTCCTTTTCCCTTAAACTGCACCAGGACTGGGCAGCCAGTTAGATGGGGGATACTTCCCAAGCATAGTACAGACTTCCAGAGTGCCTTCAAACAGAGTACAGTCCCCAGTGAAGGAGGACATGTGGCCACCCTACCCCAGGGTGCAACAGCTCTTCATTGAGTCCAGGGTGCTGGTGGTACATCTCCCTTCTAAAAGTGTCCAAGCATTTCCGTTGGTGCAAAGAACTGCTTTCTGGTGTCAGTTCTGGTGCTGATGTGAGGTCGGTTGGGCTGAGAGTCTGGGATTGGCCCCAAGTCACCCAGTTGGCTCCATGGCTGAGTGAGGACTAGAACCCGGATTG